TTTGCATCTCTCTTAGAGCTAGGGATTTTGAACATTTCTTCATGTGCTTATTAGCCATCTGAATGTCTTCTTTGGTAAAGTGAAGACTTTAACTCTATTTTACAATCAGGTTCACCAAGTTAATAGAGTTTTCAGAGGCATGTTGTTTGGAAGTGGATGCCACGCCTGCTTCCAAGTATGTCTTAATCTGGGAGCTCCACCAAACACTATTAACCATATGTAACCATAATGGCATTTGAAACACCAATGGCAGAGTGTTCAGTATCACAGCAACCCCAAGTTTCCTCAGTACAGCAAATTAACAGAGCAGTGCTGTACACTTGGAAGAATATTCATTATAAACACAAATTAATACCAGGTTAGCTGGCTGATTGACTGGAAAAGATCGATATTTGTTCCCATTCCAAAGAAAGGTGACCCAACGGAGTGTGGAAATCATTGAACAATATCATTAATATCACATGCAAGCAAGATTCTGCTGAAAATAATCCAAAAACATTTGGAACAATATATCAACAGAGAACTGCCAGATGTGCAGGCTCGATTTAGAAGAGGTCATGGCACTAGGGATGTTAGAGCTAATGTTAGATGGATCTTGGCAGAAAGCAGAGAATACCAGAATAATGTCTATCTGTGCTTCATTGACTATGCAAAGGCTTTTGACTCTGTGGATCATAACAAGCTATGGCTGACTCTGAGAAGAATGGGAATCCCAGAACACTTGATTGTGCTAGTGTGAAACCTATACATGGACCAAGAGACAAGTTGTCAGAACAGAGAGCAAGGTGACACTGCATGGTTCAAATATCAAGAAGCGGCTCTGTCACGGATGTATTCTGTGTCTCCATACCTTTTCAATCTGTATGCAGAACAGATCATCCGAGATGCTGGGCTCTACGAGGAGGAATGTGGCATCAGGATTGGTGGAAGAGTCATCAACAACTTGCATTATGCAGATGACACAACCCTGCTCACTGAAACTGAGGAGGACCTGATGCACTTGCT